TCTTCTAGTTCCAATCCACGGTATATTCCTTGGAGTGAAGCGAGGCAGTTATCTTTAGCTGTTAGTGAACACAATTGCGGTATCCGATACTTGGAACACGTGCAAGTACAGGTCGACCTAACTTTTTCTCGCCGAGGCTACCTGGAGATGAGTTCTGTATCACCCAGTGGAACTCGGTCCAGGCTTCTTTATCCGCGAGTGATTGACAGTATCACCGGCTTCAAAAACTTTACAAACTGGACGGTGACTAGCTTACATTACTGGGGAGAGAACCCTGTTGGAGAGTGGAATATCAAAATAAGAAACACAAGGAAAGACAGAAAACCCAGACAAGGTAAAATGTGCTACATTTCTTGCAAAAAAAATTCGAACGTTTTATTTCAGAAGTTTAATTTTCGGACACTTTTTGTCTCATTTCGGGCAAATTTTGGACACTGTGATGAAACGTGGCTAAAGGAAATTTAAGCCTAAAAAACACGGTTTCGACTAAAATAACATCTGTGAAGGTGATAGTTTTACCGCACCCTCAAGGTTATAGAGATACAATGACGAGAAAATAACACAAATCCTATCAAGCCGTTACGTATCTCAACCAGTGTCTCAGTTAGAGTTTACCTGAAGGTGGCGGATCTAGCTCAAGGTCTTGATCAGCCACTGCCTGATGCAGGAAAGTAAGAGCTTTGGAACTACTTAAAAGTTTTATACTGTACAGTAAAATCGTCCGAAATGTTTTCCACGCAATGTACAATTTGACCCCGTTTACATCTGACCCCGTTAAGCCGGCCACCGAAAAGCCACAATAATCTGATCCGAGCACCAGACGTTTTAGAAGTTGCCCCTGGCTGCTATTTTTTTTTCCATATAATGTCAATGATTGCCCTTTCATCAGAAACTATAGCTCTTTATTGTGTAACATAACCATAACCCTTTGAAGTCATGATTTCATATTGACTTAATTAATTAATTTTTTATCTTGTACATCCAAGTTATTCTTTACAACTGGTAGTATATAATTTCCCATTTCTTTCAAAAACTTTTGAGTTTTGGCCAGATTCTAGCTGTCTAAATGGAATTTGTTATAACGATACAGTATTTCTTTAATTTGTGTGAATTCGTAGGAGTGTAATTTTTTCACTGATCCGTTTTATGGTCGTAAGATCGATTGCGCCCTGTCTTACTGGGTTCCACCGAAGACCCAGGGCAGAAAATCGACTTAAGAATTATTGTTATTTCTTTTCTTTCCCACCTGTCCTATTAGTTAATGAAGACACTTCTCCTTGGGGACCTTGGTTCGACTGCGACGTCAAGTGCGGTGGAGGGCGTAAACACCGTTACCGCACAAATTGTACGACCATCTCTCGCCGTGCTGCGGATTTAAAATATTGTGTTAATAGTACTGCCTGTAACTTACAGCCATGTCTACCGGGTATGTTTATTCAACTCTGTGTCTCTAAAGCGAGTCTTGATGAATTATGAATTATGACAGAACCTCAGTCTGTGATGTAAAGTCAAAGACATTGCATAAAAACGTTAACTTTGTTGCAGTCTCGCCAAAGTTGTTAATATCATGATAGTTCTGGTCATGTTGGTCTCATGACCTTCACCCCCTCTCTTCTTCCTATTTACATCCTTTTCGTTCCAGAGTGTGCTGCTGTTTACTGAATAGAATATTTCTTTATATAAATTGAAACAAAGAGTATAAGGTGTTTACTGTGGGAGGCGCGGAGACGTAATGCCTAGCGCGCGGGACTCGGGATCAAACGGCCCCAGCTCGCAATGATTCAGTTGGTATTATTTTTTGTTTGGTGTTTTTTGTTTAGTTGCTGGAGGCTTTTCAAACTGGTCCCCCTGGTCTGAATGTAGCGTCACATGTGGTGGCGGAACTCAACAACGAAACCGATTATGCACCAATCCACGACCAGGAAACAATGGAACAAAATGCAAGGGACCAGCTCATGAAACACGGACATGTGCCTCTGAAATGTGTCCAACACCAGGTGACTGTTTTTATATTGTTTCTCCCCAAATTGTACTAAAAAAAATCAAACTGTTGCTGATACATATACGAGCATTATAAAAAAAAAATTATGCTGTATTTCGGACGTTGTGTTTTTTGTTATTCTTTCGTTTCAAGTGACAAGCATCGACGATTAGCTTTCATTATTTTACTTTAATATTTCAGACGGATATTAGGCTTAGGGATAGGTCTTCTCCTTCTCCTCCGTCTCCGAACGAATTAAATGCACAAATACCCAATTGTCATTGATGATCTCTGTCTTCATCAGACGCTTATTCAATGCGACTGTCACGTGTGGCCCCCATGAGTAATNTACCTAAGGGCTATACGTGGACGAAAATAGAGAAAAATCGATTTTTCGATTTCTGCCGTCGTCAGTTTGGTAATAGGTGAAATTCACTCTTAATATCGTGATAGTTCTGGTCATGTTAGTCTCAAGTGACATAACCTTCTCCCCCTCTCTTCTTCCTAATAACGAAGCGCGCGAAGTCTAAAAATATAATGCAAATTATTGGAACCCCGACATAAGCGTGTTCTGAGAGAAATAGGAGGAAAATGAACGCCAAATTTTCCTTTTAAAAATTGTTTCTAGGAACACTTGCTCGCGCGCTTGAAAAAGTGTCAAATCTTCCACAATTCCGGTTTTTTGTCTGAGTTATGACGTCACTCGCACGTTTCACTATGACATCCTTTTCGTTCCGGAGTGTGCTGTTATTTACTGAGAACAATATTTTTTTATATATAAATTGAATCAAAGATTATAAGGTGTTCACTGTGGCAAGCGCGGAGACGTAATGCCTAGCGCGCGGGACTCGGGATCAAACGGTCCCGGCTCGTAATAATTCATTTGGTATTATTTTTTGTTTGGTGTTTTTTGTTCAGTTGCTGGAGTCTTTTCAGACTGGTCCCCCTGGTCTGAATGTAGCGTCTCGTGTGGTGGTGGAACTCAACAGCGTAACCGATCATGCACCAATCCACGTCCAGGAAACAATGGAACAAAATGCAAGGGACCAGCTCATGAAACACAGACATGTGCCTCTGAAATGTGCCCAACACCAGGTGACTGTTTTTATAATGTTTCTCCCCAAATTGTACTAATAAAAATCAAACTGTCGCTGATACCTATAAGAGCATACGTTGTGTTTATTTTTATTCTTTCATTTCAAGTGATGAGCATCGACGATTAGCTCTAATTATTTACTTTAATATTTCAGACAGATATTAGGCTTAGGGATAGGTCTTCTCCTTCTCCTCCATCTCCGAACGAATTAAATGCACAAATACCGAATTATCATTGATGATCTCTGTCTTCATCAGACGCTTATTCAATGCGACTGTCACGTGTGGCCCCCATGAGTAATTAGTTTTTTCTTGCTATACACAGCCTCTCGTACCTAGCTTTGAAATTATTAGCCTGCTACTTTATGTAATCCATGTTTTTTTTTATTATTATTATTCAGCAAATAAAAGCCAAAAACAAAATTCTTTACTTAATCCCTGCGGATAATCGTTTTAATGGCTTAGACACATGTACAGTTGTTTTCTCTTCTCTTGTCAGTAAACGTTGATAGCACTTCCGATTACTTAGTTTTTTTATTGTTGTTATTTTGTTGTTGTTGTTTTTCAACTGCACATAGTGGCCCACACCGATCCTTGTCAAAATATTAAAAGTGACCAACAGTGTACATCTTGGAAAATCTACTGTAAGATGAGTTCGTATGTACAACGCAATTGTGCAGACACTTGTGGAAAATGCCCAGGTTTGTTCAGCACGTTACTTCATCACCTTACTACCTATTTATTTCGTAGCTACATTCTCAGTTTACATTATATTACCTTGAGTTCTTACCATACATTTTTGAGCGATGGAATGCAGCGCCCCAATAAACGGCACCGTAACAATTAGATTACGAGCTCGAGATTTCTACGAGCTGATAGCTGATACGGCAGAAATGCAAATAACTTTAGTTTATAGGTAGATTCATTTCATGACAAATTATCATTAATTCCTATTTTTTGATCTTTTATTATTTTTGTTTCCAATTATCTTTCTACATTTTCAGAAGAAATAATCTAGCTTCACACGGACCGAATAGTCATTTGACTCTGTGAATGCGCGCTCTTAAGTTTATTGAGCGCTTTTGTGGTCTTGAAGTTGCTGAGTAGTAAACGTCGTTCTTTTCGTAGAATTCTCGGGAATTGTTTCAGCTACTAATACTTCTAGGTTTTCCTCCGAAACTACGAATCCTCTATCCTAAGTCGCTTATCACATCACATCAACGTCGTCACATAAAACGTCTGTGAAAGTTAGCTTGGGTGCATATACATGTAAAGGCCAACTCAAAGAAGATGCCCCTCTATATATCGTAGCCAGTAAGCACAACAAGTTTTACAATATTCATTTTCAAGTACACGAGTAATACTATTTATTAAAATAGAATATAGATTTAGAAAATAAGTGAATGAGGGTGAAATAACATTGCAAATGTTTTCGCAGCTGCAATTTCGAGGGTGATTTTATCACACTGTAGTAGTCGAAACGTAGAATTGTTTGTACACTTACTGTTTGGTTGTTTGGCTCAAACTTTGTTGTTGTTTTTAACAGTACAAGTACATGTAATAGTTATTTCATTTCGATATATCTTCACGCCTTAGTTGCTCTTTGTAGTTTAATATTTTCCTTTCAGCTACACCAAGAACCAGTCGTTTTAAATTTGCTGTTGTCAAAATTATAGGTCGCGTATTTTCGTTGAAGTTGATTTTGTACGGAACCAGAGAAGATCCCCTTACAAACAACAGTCATGTCGACAGAAGGAGGAAGAGATGGACGAGATTTACCACAGATCAAATTAAAAATCGCAGGAAAGGTCAGTTGTAAAATAGGCAGGCGACGTGGTCGAATCAGGTTAGAGCGCTGGACTTGACATCTGTAGGTCACAGGTTCAAATTAGCTGAGCTGATACGATTTTGTTATCTCGAGTCCAGCTCCTTGGCACAGTTGTAAGTAGGCACATGTTCTGCCTCCAACCAGTTAGTTGTTCATTTACAATAACTGTTTCAAAGTTCGTTTCATTGATCCCGAAAAGCTCTATTCACAAACAATCAAACGATCGATCCATCGATTGATTGATCATATGATTGATTATAAAAAGAAAACAGGTTGCTTAAGCAACTATATTTCATGACAAGTCTCAGAAAAAAAAAA